CTTCACCATACACCACTCCATACCTTCATTTCCTCTTTACTCCACCATTCACTGCTGCTCCTTTTATGGCAAGCCATAAGGGACAAAAGTGGTTGAGAGCTTTTTTTCGAGCCAAGCAGCTTTTTTGCCTAGTTGAGAATTATTTCTTCAAGTCTGTAATTTTTCCAGCCAGTTGAATTCTGACAGCCAGTCAAGAACTTTTTCCTCAAGCCAAGAATACCCAACATGCCATGTCGTCATTTGCCACCAAAATGATCACATGATGTATAGCACAAAATGGCTGCTAGCAATGGAGCAAGCTCTCAATCAAGACACATAATTCCACAAATAGTTGGCTGCATAAATGAACTTTTGCAAGCTTTAGAAGCGGAGCAATCTAGTTTGAAAATATCTTTAACATATATTAAAGTTCATGAGAACATCTTCTTCCACTGCTCAAACTGTACAGACAAGATTCCTACCAGCGTCAGCTAATACTACCTCAGCCTTGGCTCAACACCAGCCGCCATTGTACACAATGAGGAACAACTTTTCAAATCAGCAAACAAACAGTCAATACAAGCACAAGGAAACAACAAGAGGAAAAAGAAAAAAAAAGGAAGGTCAGTTGGGGTTCAAGTCTGTTCTCAAGAGGTGAATTTTGCCAGCAGGACCAAATGACCAGGAAATCCCTCGCCAGGTAAGTAAATTATGTTTGCAGGAGAATGGCCACATTATCAGCGCTTTTGAGTTCTGAAAGGAGTTTAGTGAAACTGATGTAGAGATCGAAATAAAAAAGGCTTTCCAGGAAACATTGCCTGATGAAGTGGGCTTTGAAATTGTTTCTTTCGTTCAAGTGAACTTGTCCAAGCTGACATTGGCTTTAAGATAGCAGCTGACTGGTGCAGTTTTGAACAGAATATTCAAAGGCGAAAAGCCAGTGTATGTAAGGCCCTGTAAGGAATTGTTATCCCACAAGGTTAGCTCCTGCATTTTCTGAGTTTATATTTTTTTCCTGCCCTGGCGTACCATGTTTTGCTGTGTTCTGTTTTTCAACTGGCCAGTAAATGCTGCAGTTAAACATTTTTACTCCCAGTGAGCTTGTGAAGAGATGCAAATGGGCAGCACTTAGCTTCATCTACTTCTTGTTACTTGATTGAAAATGAGAGATATTTGGTTCATTGCACAGAGGGCCTGGAGAGGAGAGTGCTGTCATGGCAACTTAGTTGGTTTTATTACATGCCTTATCCCCTGAACATTAATGGTACCAACCTTGATTGACATCACTCCAACATTTTCTGAGAGAACCTTGATTTTTTATTAATCTTCATTCTGAGACTGTGGTCTCATTATTTTTTCAATAAAAACTTGTACATCTCTGGAACAGGACCAGACACTTCAAAACAGTAAATGCATTTCTTTGTCATTTTGAAAGGCCTTTCAATCATTGAAGTGATTCACTTATCTGACAGTGACAAGGGCATTAGTAGAAGAAAGTATGCTTACAAATGTCCAGGTCAATGCCATATTAATGCACAATTAATGCAATAGTGACCTCAAACTCAGTGCAGTATTTTTGTTCTCATTCAGCATGAAAAAAGATGTCATATGTCCAATCTGGCATTTCCAAGACTGTCAACCGTTAATTTCGTTCCACTTTTGTGGTTTGCATGTTCCATTAATCTTTCAATCTAAACTAAAATGTCATCAGTGGGAACTGATAGAAAAATTGCTCTTTCTTAATGATGTTTCTTTGAATTTACCATTTATAGTAATTTGATTCCAACCATTTATGGGAATCACAATATAAGAAGACACTGATGGGTTTCCCTATATGACAAGTGTCAATTTCTCAAAAAAAGTAAACTAAAATAACCTGAATGTTAAAACAACAAAAAACACCAATGTTATGTGAACTACCATCAATGTTTAATAATCAGTTCACAAAAATGTTACATTATAATAAACCATTAGTGGCAAGTTTGCACTTACCATGTGTATAATATTCATGGGAAGTAACAATTTCCCAATAAAACTAAATTAAAACAATCTGAATGTTAACACAACAAAAAACACTAATGTTATGTGAACTACCATCAATGTTTAATAATCAGTTCACACAAATGTTACATTAAAAAAACCATTGATGGTAACTTAGCACTTACCATGTGTGGAATTTGTATATTAACATTAATGTGATTTTGCAGAGGAAACATTAGTGCTAAGTGTCCAACTTCTACATTGATGCTATCACCATTTTTTTGTTTTCCAATTGTGTAAGAACATGAAAAGATCAAAAGCTATAATTTTCCTAGAAGCATACATGATTATTTTTTGTAAATTTATAGATCATCACCACCCAATTAGATTAAGGTGTGGTTCCATGTCCATTTTCATAGCATTGACAAAATTTAACTGTAGCTTCTCCAAAATGTTGCCAATTTCTATGAAACTTTACCAAATGGATGGATGTTATTAGAAGAGCTGAAAGACCAGTAGATCCTCCACCCTCTGCACCTTTGGTTCTCAAAAAGATTGCTGGTAACATCAAAAAGTGCACTGGGTGCTTCAAGGCTCTAACATCCAATGTTGTGGGATACCAGAGTCCAGATGATCAGCTATACTGTTTTGCCAGATTCGAGCGCTATCATTTCTTCAATAAGGCAACAAATGCTTGGCAGTTAGCAACATCAACGAGACACTACCACCTCAACCCTGTCTGCACAAAGGTGTCATCAAAAATAACGTCCGATAACAGTCTCATTGAAACTGGTAGCCTGCGTCAACTGGTTCTTGATAGATTCCAAGTAAATATAGATTAATTTTGTAGCTGCCTTTTGTTTCCTTGTATGTCAATGCACTTCTTTCAAGAAACTCAGTTGTATGCTCACAGGTTAATCTTTCCTGGAGTTTTACTCTTTACTTTAACTGCCTTGCATCTCTTTAAATCTAAAGGTGGCCCGTGAAAAAAGTGTTCAGTGGATTGACATATTACACATTCTCTTGGATTAACTCTAAGGGATGTCTATGGAGTGTTGGGTGTGTACCCTGAAATGAAAAATCAAGTTATGGTGATCGTGATTTCATTAGACCCTGACTTTTTGGCTTGTGTAGAAAATTAAAGAATCTGTTAAGGATAAGTAGCGGGATTTCCAACTATTAACATTTATGGACGTTAAAGTTTAAAAGATTGAGAATTGTTTACAAATTAATCACATAACAGTAGGTTACGAGTTAATGAGATTCAGGTCAATTTAATTTAGGCATGTGGCTTATAATGGTTTTAAACTTTTTTTCCACCCCTAATAATGGTGTGACAAAAATTTCCAATCATTGGTGAACTAGTAGAGATCTTTTTATTCCATTGGCAGTTATCATGGCAGCAGTGGGGTGTTTTAATGGGTTATACTGTTGCTATGGTAACCACTTATGGCAGTGAAATGGTTAAAACTTCTTAACCAATGATTGAGAATTTTGTTGATACCATTATTGGAGCAGTAAATGATTCAGAGTGCTAGTATTGATTGATTAAGTGTAAGAGCAAGAAAGAGCCGGGAACTGTTAAGACCCACCTTATATTGTTCAAGAATATTGCATTTGAAAATGTGTTGAGATAATTTAATAAAGGTTATGGCTTGTTTTGTTGTGCTACTGAACAATCCCCTACACCTGTTTTAGCTTGTTGATATTTTTAATACCAAAGAGTTGTTATGTACAATGTTTCCTTCAAACAGCAATTGCCATGTAGTTCAAATTTAATTCAAACATAGGAAAAAATCTAATAGGAAGTCGATTCGCTGCTCTATTAATTGAATAGTCTCTAGTGGATCATAGAGCTTCGTGCCTGGAACCAAGTCACCTCATCACTGTCCAATATTTCACACACCTCCACATTTCTCTTAAAGAAAGAAAGATAGATATGTTTGCAATCTGTTTTAAGTGCAAATAAATGTGGATGGCCCACAAGAACAAAAGAATAAAGGTGATTAATATTCAAGTCCATTCAAATGGTAAGTCAAATCTTTTTGTCATTTCTGTTTATATTTTCTGCATCGTTTTTTTCGGCTATTTTTTGGGGTGGTCCGTAGGGGGGGTCCGTAGAAGGGGTCCGTGGACTGGTCCGTAAGGTAGTCCACGGGCCGGGGGTTAGTGTTTTCGGGTCACCCCATTCTTTAGGCCAAGAAGAATATTGTGAGATTTTCATATCGTTTGATGAAGAAAATAGCAATGAATCAGACAGTGAGAGTTCTACAGAATCTGACATAGATTTCAAAGGATTAGTGAATCAGAGTGAAAGTGAATCAGACTTAGGGAAAGTTCAAGCAAAAGCCGTGATGAAATTCCCTGGTTGCAAGATTTTGAGGACCTTGTGATCAACAGTCTCATTACCACTTCCACTCTTTTCCCAACAAAGCAAACAAAAAAAATATTTTTAAACCTTACTTTTGACCTTTCTATTATCGATTTAGTGGAAAAAATTAGCAAACAAGCGACTTAGGCTTGACATGTGGAAAGATGTCACTACTCAAGAACTTAATGCTTATTTTGGTCTGTGCATTATGACGAGAATAAACAGTCTGCCAATAATTTTTATGTAATGGTCGTCAATTCATTTATCATATACTAAACAAAATATTGCGTTTCTGATTGGTCAATGATGAATGCATAAATAGGTTATAGAGTGCAATAGAGGTTATAGAGTGCAATACGGAGAAGTTGCCATGGAAACACCGGGGAAGTGCCAAATTTGAACACCAAATTATAAAAACATGGCTGACAGCCAGTTTGCTTTGTCAAACCAAAACATCGTTGAGCAACTTAAAGAAAATGCGAAAAACAAAAACACGTTGAAAGCTACACAGACCTGGTTAAATGTCTGGCAAACATGGGTGACTCAACGAAAAGTAAACCCAAAAATGGAAGAATACGAGCACGAACAACTCGATAAAATGTTGCAAATCTTCTACACAGAAATACGCACAAAAGACGGGTGTGAGTACGAACCTGAGAGTTTAAAATCCATGCTGGCAGCCCTCGGCCGCTATTTAAAAGAGCATGACTACAAGTACTCTAAAATAAGAGACCGAGAGTTTCACCAGTCGAAGTTGGTACTCGAAGGAAAAGTGAAGTGTCTCCGTCAACAAGGAAAAGGCAAGAGACCCAACGCCGCGAACGCACTGATAGCCAAAGAAGAAAAAATGCTATGGAGTGAACAAAGTCTCAGCGACTGCAGTCCAAGAGTTCTGTCCCAGACGATGTGGTGGATCTTGACTCAACATTTTGGCCTGAGGGGAAGACAGGAACACCATTCAATGGAAGTCGAGGACTTCAGTTTTTGTGTGGACAACAGCGGCACAGAGTACGTCACATTTAAAGAAAATCCTACAAAGACAAGGCAGGGAGGACTGAACACAAATCATCGTAGTGTTCTGCCAAAAATGTTCGCTACTGGTGGTCAGAGATGTCCTGTTGAGTTACTGAAGCAATACCTTAGTAGGTGTCCTCAAGAGCTGCGCGACAAAGGTCCTTTTTACCTTGCCATAATCGAAAATCCCAAAACAAATGTTTGGTACAGGAAGCAGCGGCTCAGCATATGATGAAGAGTGTCGTCAAGAACACAGCTCTGGAAACAAGCAAGAAGAAATTGACTAACCACACCGCAAGGAAGACAGTTGTGAAGAAACTCAGAGCAGCAAGCGTCGAGAGGCAGTCGATAATCCAGGTGACCGGCCACGCAAGTGAAAAGTCTCTTAACGACTACAATGAAGGTAGCGAGAAGGAACAGCGACAGCTTTCAAACATTATCAGCAATGCTCCACAGTCAGCAGCCTCCAGCAGTTTTCCTGGTCTACCAATGTGGTCTTCTCCTGCAACAACTTCAACGTGTGAACAGGTGAAAACAAGCAGCCATGCTTTCACTGTGAACAACTTTCACAACTGTCAAGTCACATTTAACGTGATTCAGGGGCAATGCAGTTCACCAAAGTCTACAAGACAGAATGTTATTCCCTGAGGCCGATTGAGATCAAACATTTGAAAACAGTTTAGTGGGCTTAAGTACTCTTGCCGCTTTTAATAACTGAAATTTAGCTTTTGAGTTCGGCTTGTAATATTTTCTGAGAAACTTTCAAGAACTTCACGCTTGATTTACCTGTCACAACATTACATTTTTGATTGGTTCAAATAAAACATGTGAGCATTTTGGAACCCATTGAAGTGTTTTTTGTAGTACGTAAGGCGTGCAGAGTAGCGCGATGGTGTAATTTTGTCAAGAATATAATAAATAAAAAATCGTATGAACCTGCTCGTGCATTTCGTGATTTATGGTCACTCATGGTGTTTTGAAAGTTCTCAAATTGCACTCGCCTACGCCTCGTGCAATTTTGAGAACTTTCAAAACATCACTCGTGCCCATAAATCACGAAATGCACTCGCGTTCATACGATTTCCTATACTTATTAGAAATAACAGCAAACAAAATGTCCTGACCAAAACAGGTTCAAAGAAATCAGTTGGCAAACTCATTTCATTGATTCTTAACAAGAACCACCACAAAGCGTGAATACTGAAAATGCTGTTTGGTACAAAAACAGACCACTGGGTGTCAACAAGTTAGGCAAAATGATGGAAACTATATCTGTTGGAGCAAAGCTCTCTCAGATATACACCAACCATTCTGTTCAGGCATCTGCCATAACCATGCTCTCTGACATGAATGTTCCAGACTGTCACATCATGTTCATTTCAGGGCATAGCATTATCCTTGCACTGTTGAGAATTCACAAAGGCATATTACAAAATGACAAAAGTAAGGGAATCTCGGTTGAACAGGCAGGCAAACGATGTAGAGGAAAATCCAGGCCCTACAATAATTGGTGCTATCGATCCAACAAGGACAATATGTACTGACTACAGTCAGGGAAATGAAGCACACTTTGTTGAAAATGCTGGTAAGCAATGTGCAGCCATGTCACTTGCTGCTATTAGTTATCATCACATAGAGGATATTCAGTGTTTTCAATAAGGGCCGGCAGCCGGCGAAACTCGCCGATTAGAAGATTGTTTTTCGAATTAGAATAGATTGTTTTTCAAATGTTTAGGCAAGTTAATGACTTTTAATTGGTTTTGATATATTTTATTTGAACATAACAGAAACCTTTCCTTATTTCACTTTCTCAACAACAACAGACACTGTTGGCTCTAATCCCGAAGCTGCTGTTGGTTCTGAATGTTCCACTGGATCTACCACTTATCCTGTAGACATTGTGCAAGAACTTGAAACACCCCAGCCCAAGGCTGTTCCACAGCCACTGAAGCAAAAGGAATGTACTCAACCAGAAGAAGAAAAGAAGCCGCTTGAAGAACTTTTAAAAGAAACTGAAACTTCACTTCTCCACCATCAGTCAACCTGCCCTGCAGTCTCATGCTAAAAGATTTCCGCAGAGGAGCAGAAGGCTCAACAGTCCTTAAAAGACAAGTTCAAGCACGAGTGGCTTACAGACAAGTCTCTGGCATATTGTTCTAAAACGGGAATATGGTGGCTTGCATATGTGGAGGGAAAAGGGATGTACTGCCTTTTGTGTCGTAAACACAACACAAAGAACGAACAGAACAAACCCAAAGTGTTCAGCAGCGATCCAGCAG